CCAGAGTCTGGTCCCTACCCCGGCCGAGCCACGCATTCACTGGGGAATATTTGGTTGTTTGAGCTACAGTTTTCCTGTCTATTACTGCGCTGGTGATAGTCAAGGCAGAGCCTCTCCAGGTGTATAATAAGTGTTTTGTGCTGCCACCTGCTCTGTGTCAGCACACGTTAGTGATAATTTTAAGACCAGCATCTTTAATACGAACACTTTTAAGTGTGCAAACACACTTAACAAGTGGGCACCTCTTGGCTCCTAACAGTAAAAAGTCTCAGGTGTGACCTCATTCAGGGCTACCAACCAGTGTTTCCAGGACACAGTTTCTTTTCATTTCTGAGCTTCGCTCCGTTCTCCAGCGCTATGTGATCCAAAAGGAACACCCACCAGCTGTGACCAAAGTCCGGTCCTAGGTGGAGCTCTTACTGACCCATGGCGCACACTGGATTGTGAGCCAACACCATGCAAGGAATGTGGTGCCCCATCTATGCCTGCTTCTGTGTCTGCCCTCGATTCATGGGGAACTGACTCTAGGTAAAGCTTGGAAGCTAAGAGTGACCAAAAGACTGGTACTCCGAGGAAGGGAATCTCGAAGGTAAAAATGGCGGGCATGGAGTGCCTGGATGCACACTGGCAGGCGTCATGGGAAATGGGCCTGTGTGTCTCTGCGCATGTCCTCGCATGCCCTGCTCTTGTTCTAGATGGCTCACCCACATTTCAGGACAGACCGAAGCTGAGGAGGACAAACTGTCACGGATTAGACGAAGAGACTCAGCCTCCTCACCTGCCTTTTGGTCCCCTCGCCTCCTGTCTTGACTTCCTGGTTCTTCAACCCTTCCCTCTTTTACCCCGTGGACCATTTCCACCACACCCCAAATTGTGAAATCTCTGTATCTGAAAGCTTGTCCAACCTCTGCTCTTATCACAAGGCCTTTGTTATTGTTACCAAATCGTGGCACTATATATATTATTTTTTATTATTAATATGTAGCAATTGTCCATGGGTTCAGTGTGATATTTCAACCCATGGCCTACATCATGCACTGACCCATGCCAACTTCTGTCACCACCTTCCAAACCTTGAGTAATCATTTTCCTACTTCAGAGCACCTTTCTTGTAACATCCACATATAAGACAGAACTTCGGGTACTTGTTTTTCTGTGATCAACATGTTCCCCTTGACATAACATCTTCCAGCTCCATCCATTTGTGCTGGAACAAGATTTCATTCATCTTTACGGCTGAATGACACAGCTCCACTGTGTGTCGATATACGACATTTTCTTTCCCCATTTATTTGTCACTGGAGGCCTTAGTTATTTGCATATCTTGACTGTTCTAAGCAGTGCTGAGTAAGGACGGGAGTACAGATGTCTCCCACTTTCTGAAGCCATCCTGGAAGTCTACTGTCATGAGTGTCTTTCGTTTCACTGTCACGGTTACCTCAGTATCCCAAACCCATTCAAAGTGGACATGAGGGAAAGAGCCAGAAATCACAGGTTGCCAGATGCAGTGAATAAAACTGATGAGGAAACTGGGTGATGTCCTTAAGGGCCCCCCTTTCTGTCAGAGGACCCTGGGCAGCAGCATACACCATATCCTTTGATTACACCTCCAAAAGACGTGAGAGAGTATTTCAGGAAACCACAAGAATGTGGGATCACAGTGTTCAAAGCAAGAGGGAGCATCTTGAGAGGTTTCAATGACGATATATCTTACAATAATTTCTTTCAACTTAAACATTCATTGTATTTTTGGTCCTACCTCATAGGTATACAGTTCTAATCTTCTGCCTACTAATATCCAGTTTTCTCCACATTATTTGCTGAAGAATCTGTCCTCACATATATTGTGGTGACTTTGTTAAGAATCCCTTGGCGATGGATGCTCGAGTTCACTTCCCCATCTCTGCAGACTCTGCCCCATGGTCCCGGAGTGTGTCCACTTTTGGGCCAGCACCAGGCTGTTTCTCTTTACCATGCCTCTGCAGTGTGTCTTGGTATTGAGCAAGGTGACACCTCCAGCTGTGGACCCCTCTGTGTCTGGCAGTATGTTTGGGCTCCTCTGGGCTGAGGCTTTGGCCTCCTGCTGGGTTCTCCACACCCCTTAATTCCATTGCCCGATAACTTCAAGAGAAGTCCCTCCATTATCCCTGAACCCACACTCTGCTTGAGCACCTCCCCTGCCCCAAACTCACTCAGCCTCTCCAAAGTTCCTAAGTTACCAGCTCCTCTCTCTGCTGGACCACTTCCTACTGCCTGCCGGCCTTTGAGTGTTCTGGACCAAGAAGAAATCCCTTCAGAAAGGTCTGCAAGGAAAAAGACAATTCCTGTTTCTTCTATACATGAGTTTTTCCCTTAACCATTCCCCTGGTTACAAATGCCTCCGGTTCTCTAACCAACCTTACTACACTTCTGTGATGATGATTTCCCTCCTAACACCCATTTGGAAGTTTCCTTCAGCAGTTACTGCTTGTTGGAAGCCAGAACAGCCAAAACATAAGATGAGGAAGAGAATTGAGGTGATTAATATTCCAGGAAAAAGCTCTTGAGGATAAACTGCCTAAAAACGCAGTATTTCTTCCCTTTCACCAAACATACTTATATGTGGTGTTCAGAAAAAATAATCTAGAAAATAATTATTATTTACAAAAAGCTTTAATGTTGCTACTATTTTGCTAATAGATAGGTAGTTTTTGTTTGTTTGTTTGTTTGTTTGTTTGTTTTGATACCAGGGATGGAACTCATGAGCTCACACCTGCCCAGCAGGTGCTTGTGTCACTGTGCTGAATCCCAGGGGAAGAATCTGTGACTTAATGAAGTAGATTCAGGGGCAGATTCTCATGGGATTCTTGGAAAGGACTTGTATGGTCGGACTGTGCTGCTGTTAGACATGTAACCCGTGAAATAGGCACTAGAGGAGGAAAAGACCAAACACACACACGCACACACACACACACACACACACACACACACACACACACACACTCAAAATGCCCATCCCTGGTCCCAGAGCTCTTGCATTCTGAGAAGTGAGATCCTGGATGCACCTATTACAGAGGTCAAGACCCCCTTTTTCAGGAGACTGAAAGCGGCTATCATGAGGCCAAATCAAGTTCACTCCCGCTATTTCTGGCTTTCATCGTGGGAAGTCCCCTTCCATTTCCTTCTGAGCTCTGTATTAGCATTTCCCCGTAAGCTTTTCTCACATCTATGTGGCCTGGGATGGCTTAGATCTTCAGTCATAGTCCTCATCTGTAAATCAGGTAAATATCAAAATTATGTAAATCCTCCATAGTAACCAAATGGAAGATTATAATCAAGTAAGCACCTGCTGCATCTTACCACTAAGAGGATAAGGAAACACAAAGGACCATGAAGCTGGATCCAAAGCTGCCGCTGTTGCTTTCGTGAAGAACCAAGAACACTGCTCCTGATCTAAATAAACCAGATTGTTCATTTTTTCCACTCATTCAACAAGCGTCTACTTCTCTGTGCCTGTCATATGTGAAGGATACAGAGATAGGCAGATACAGTCCTGGACTCTTCCAGAGCTTACATCCTAGGAGGGCAGACAAGCAGAGGCAGGTCCAGGAGAGACAAAAATCATCTAAACAGATTTTTTAAAAAAGGATGCATGTGGGTTTTAGACAGAGTGGTCAAAATCTTTGCAAATGTAGCCTCTGAGCAAAATTCTGTATAAAATGTCAAGGTAGCAATGGACCACCTGTGGAGGAAACTCACCACGACCACCAAGAGAACAAAAGAGTGAAACTCATGAAAAATACACGTAATAACCACTGTATCCATACTGTAGTTTGGTATAATTATTTGACAGTTGCACGAGACTATTATTCATTTTCAAAAAATTTAAAGATAGCATTGCTATTCCTGAGAATCAAAGAAAGAAATGTCTGTAAGTTTCAATATAGTCTTCATTGAACACTGCTGAGTCTTAATGTTGCTTCTGCTCATATAAAATACTACTCTGGGTATCCCATTTCATCTTCTCATATGAGCTACATGCTATAGTGATTCCCCATTTTACATATCAGTAGACCAAGGCAAAGGGAAGCTAAGTAACTCGTCCAAGGTCACCAGCCACGGAGTCATGAAATATGACAATATACAACTTGTGTTGAAAATAGAGGATGTCATTCTTTTTTTCCCTGATAACTTATTGAGCAATTATTGTGCTGGATCATATTCTAAATACCAAAAAAATGATAAGCACTATCCTCTCACCCTCTTTTCCTTAATCTGCATGTGAGACCAACATGTGCAAGAAGTGCAAAGTTAAAAAATAGAAGTCACAGTGTTAATATTCACTGCATATGGCTTGAGGCTAGGAGATGTTGAATATAACCTCCTTTTAATTTTTTTTTTCTGCTCCTGTTACTACAAAAAGCATTTGCAGAAACTGGGGTGGTTGGCCTGGAGAAGAGAAGACTTGAGGGATCTAATGACTGTCTACAAAAATTTAAAGAACTGTCAAGTAGAAAAGAAATTAGATTTGTTCTATATGTCCCCAAAGGCAGGAGCAATAGAAAGATTCCCCACAGAATAAAGGAGAACTTCCATTAGTGAAAACTCTAGAGCTCTGTGATGCCAGATTGGACTCTCTGGGCTTCGCGGTGCTTGGGTTGTGTGGTGGGTCACTCAAGCAGACCAACCCCCATGGTCTACAGGGAAATCAGTACCAGGCTAGCTGGTGCTGGTTAAGATTGGTTCTTTTTATCAGTGATTAATAAAATTCTTGCTATTGCTTAACTGCTTATAAAGTTCATCTCTTCATTAAAGAGACATTTTCCAGAACCCGCGGGTCTGGTTCATTGGTACAATGTTTGCATCCCGTATGCAGAACTCTGGATTCCATCCCAACACCGAAAGAAAAGTGCGTTCGACTTGTTTTCATATCATAGCTCCAACTCTGCGTGTTCATCTGGTGCTTACCTGGTAATAAATAATCCTCTCAAGGTGCACTCTCTCTCCTTTGTTCTGCCTAGGTCTGCAGCCCTTCACCAACTACAGCTTCTCGCTCACAGCTTGTACGTCTGCTGGGTGTGCTTCCAGTGAGCCTTTTCTAGGTCAGACGCCACAGGCAGCCCCACAAGGTAATGAAAAATATCCATTTGCGAGGGAAGAAGTTTTCATTTGGCCTTTTAAAGAAGGGAGAAAGTAGACAAGGAAAAATAGCCAGGTAGATTCTAATCTAGCTGGCTATTTATGTCCTTTGGCCATAGTGGCCTTTCTAGGTGAGTTCCCTTTCAGTCCTGTAAGTCTTTTAGATTTGCTTTTCTGGGAGAAAAAGTTCTTACAGAGTTGGGTAGGAAGTTTTTTAAAGACTCAAAAGTTAAACATGTTTCCAAATAATTCTCATCTAAAATCAGCCCATGCTTACTGCTAAAGTTGGCTAGGATCTCTCTGCCCCCAAGAACGGACCATGAAGTATGAAGAACAGCAGGATAAAGACCGAGATGTTAAGAGAACGAAGGGCACATGGATTAATCTGGGAGAGATCACAGCCCACTTGGGCACCCGGGAAGATGTTTGAGGGCAAATGACGTCTAAGGGCGGCCACCAGGACAGGACTCTTAACAAGGAACAAGACACACAGTCAGTGTTAAGTGGTTCTGTCTCCTTAACCGGCACCTGGGTGGTTTCTATTAAATTTAAATTCTTAATTCCTTATGACACAACACTTCCATTCTTAGTATGTAAGCCAGGTCGACAAAGAAGCAGGTAACAGAATACTTGTTGAAGACCTTTTTATTTTCCTGGATGAAGGATAAAAATGTGGAAAACAATTTAATATCCATGAGTAGGGGAACTTCTAAATAAATTCAAGTATTCTGATACTGTGGAATTTCCATACACAAATTTTTAAAATGAGGTGATCTGAACATATAAAGAAGTTATGGAACCACACTAATATGTTTTGTATAAAAACCCATACAGGAAATATCATTCATTTCTAATACTAAATAAACAAAGTGTAGAGAAAAAATTCTGGTAAGTATCTAAGCTTGATATCCATGGTTAGCTCTGGGTTGCAAGTGGAATAGGTGATATCATTTACTTTTGGAGGTAAATTTGCTTGGAAGCTTGCATCAAGGAATCACCTAATTATTTTGTTAATCTTTATCATGTGCCTATTTTATCTGTGGGGAAACCGAGGCATAAATAAGCTTCTAAACAGAAATACAATGTTAATTACCACAGTGGGGTCCTGAGCTACTTGTCCATTACTCTTTGAATGTAAGGGATTGTTGTACCCCGGAATATTAGACTTGAACTTCCCACCAGTAAATGGGGAATAAAATGGAAAATTCCACATATGGGGCATATGGCTCCTCCCCAGGAACTCACTAATGATGTTTTCTATATAAAGAATGTTTCATGTCAAAAAGCTTAGCGTTCTGTTGAAAGGAAGAAACCAGCAGTGGATTTTTTGGAAAGGTAAACTATCAAATGGATACTTTCACAATAATGGATAATTTCTAGAGGATCGACCAGTTTTGGCTGGAAACCAAGCCTGGTAAAATAACAGGGTTTCTTAGTCCAGTTTACTCATCAACTCATACATGTAAATTCTTAAAAATAGGAACCCGTTTTCCCCCTCCCCCCCATAAAATTTCTTGAAAGTGTTCAATTTTATGGCTTAAAATGTATGACTTTCAGAGTGCGGAGGAACAGTAGGAGAAATGTGGCCCTTAACTTTAGGCATCTTTCCTTTAACAGGACTCATTATGCAGACAATCTAATGAGTGAGCTCTGTCTCAGGAAAACATGGGTTCAGAGCTCCGTCCTGCCTGTATAAGTGCCATGCATGTAGAATGTGTGTAGGAAATAAACGTGGTTTGAAAGCTTAACTTGGGATTTTTCGGGGAATGAATCAGCAATAAGCTATTCCTGTTGTTTCACTGCAAATAGAGTCTAACGTGTCGTGTTTTAATTACTAACCTAGGTATAGCTAAGTGTAACATGGCACTTCTGAAGGAAACCAGGCAAAGTTTCAAGGTCTGATATCTGAGACTCTCCAGGGGGTATGGAGAGAATTAAAGGAAGCGTTTGTTTGGAGCCACCCAAACTCTTTTCTCATTTTCAGTTAGAAAGAAAATTAATACACATTTTGACTTCAGGACAAGTTGGACAAAGTTGCTCCCAGTTTTATCTGATGTGGAGATACACAGTGCAGACCTGCAGGCCTGCTTCCCCAAAAGCAAAAAGGGGAAGAAACCACCTGCCTCAGTTTCCCTCCAGCAGTATCTTCTTTAGTCTGTATCCACTGGTGCTTCCTTGGACTCCCTTTGTTTGAATAACTCCACGCTGTCCTCTGCAAGGCCTAGCTTCCTCCCCTGCAGGAGGGCTGGGAGCCGCTCGCATCAGAGCTCTCAGGAATGCTATAGTCACAGGTCAGGGGCTGCGTGCCCTCTGCTCTGGTGGACAGTTACACTTGGGAGCTTCTCCGATTCTTTAACCTCACAGGTTTAACACCTCCTCTCTGTCTGCAAGCGCCCTCTTCAATCTGCTTTTCCTTCTGTGTCTGGAGATACTACCATCAACCACCTCACCTTCTTAACCCTTTCCTTTCCCTTCAATTATAGTGCATAGTTTTTCACAAAATCTTGCCATTCATAAGTCTCAAGGATTTTTTTAAGTCTTTTCTTCCTATCCCTCCCCCTGCCATTATCTGACTTTGTATTCTTCTGAATTCTCTGGATTCTCCTAACTAGATGGCCTGACTCTGGTCATTTTTAGTCTTTCTCATATCTCCCAACCCAATCCTTCCTCCTTTGCCAAAAAAATGCGTATCTCATGTTAATCACCTCCATAAAACCCTGTATTATTCCATGGGAACATAAATTTGTATCTTTTCAGTAAAGTAAATTCGCTCCCCCAGGTGTATCCTCTGTTGAATCAGTAAGGGGTTCGGTGGACCCACTACGAGTGACAGCGCAGCCGCACTGAGGCACCCACCGTCCAGCTGCACCCCCCTCCTGGCTGTGACTAAGAGGGGGCACCCTCATCCTGGACGTCGGCTCCTGCATCCTCACTCAGCTAACTTGATTGCTCCAAGTGGGGTTCCTATATCTCCTTTCCAGCCATCTTCCCGACCAGGGCAATCACTAGAGAGTGCTGTGTCTTTACTCGCCTGGTGATGTGGGACTGAATTATTTTAAAAACTATTAAAGTAAGGTGACCACCTTCTCCCCACTGTCCCTCTCACACTCCCAGTCTGTCTGGGGTCACCTGTCCTAAGTGCTCTCCCAGCCCTGGGGGGAGTTAGCACACTGGATTATAACGTTTCATTTATACATCTTTATTCATTTTTCTGCTACAAACTCCTTCAAGGGTAAGGAGGGTTCTTTCTCGCTGACATCCACAGTGCCCAAGAAAATGACGTGAAGTCGGTGAGAATGTTGAGTGAATAAGCTAACAATAATAAACAGTCCAGAAACCAAGCAATCCTGATACAAGTTAATACAAAATGACTCCCAGCATCACACTTAAGAGGAAAGCCAATCCACAATACATGACCGGGTTTTAAAAACTGGAATAAAGAGTTATAGGAACACAACAAGTGGGGAATGTTGCATGGGAGTCAAGGTAAATTTAATATAAACCCAGCATGCATATTCTGTCTATGATAGCCGTTACACCAAAAGACTCACCAAGGTTTGCCTTGTGAGGATTAACCATGTACCATTCAGCTAGTTTATGCCCTCCACATCCTCCCCCATCATTTCCCTCACTATCACTTTTGTCTTCAAACTGCCTCAACTCTGCCCTTCCATTACACAGCATTGGCTTTGCTGGTGCTATAAGAATTTGGGGTACAGGACTTCGAACTCACTAAGACAATTCCCAAAGGTGAATCTTCCTCTAGCAAATATTTTCATTATTATACATAAATATAGCAAATATTTATTATTTATTATTAATAAGATAATAGTGACCCATGTCACTATAAAAATAAAAACATAATGCTTCCTAGTTATTTGCATGTTTGAACTTCATCTTCTCAACCAAGCCAGCAGGCACCAGGTTATTACCAACCCCAACCTCAACAGAGCATGCATGTGCTTGTAGGAATACAAAACTCAACTTCTATATAAAATGTGAAACAAACCTAAAATTCTGATTGATTATATTTCATCAGTAGCTCCATATCCATAGACCACACTGACATGTTCAGGTTGGGAAGTAAGCATAGGTTCTTTTAGCACTTTAGTGATTCTTAATACATCCCTCGAGGTGAAAAAGATAGGACTGTGAAAAGATAATACACTAAACCTTTCTACTTTATCTCTTGAATCAACAAATTAATATTATGTTTAAATCAGGACTTGCAATGCTTGGTTGAGTCATCTAGCAGCTGGTGGCAGAGAATCTGAGGCATCAATGTATATTGTGATTTGTGGATTTTTCCAAGTATCTAGCACAGAGAAAGCTCTGAGAATGGATCGTTTTCTTCTCAGGGACAACATGCTGATCAGACAGTATGCTTGAGGCGTTTTGAGATCTATCTAAAATTTTTGTAGTATGCTGGGACATAAATTTTATTTGAAAGTTCTTAAAAATTTTTCTCTAAAAATGTCCAAATTTTACCCTTTACAAAGTAATTTACACAGGAGATACAATTGTTCCAAAGCTATTAATTATAGCAAACCCAGTATAATGAAAGTAGTCTTTTTTTTAAAAAAAAAAAATTCTGTCTTGGTTACTCTTCTCTTGTTGATGAAACAAAATACCTAATGCCCAAAATTAAAGAAGAAAAGGTTTGTTTAGCTCACTGTTTGTGGAGGTTTCAGTCCATAATCTGCTGCCTCCAAAGCAGGGTAACATGGCACCAGGGTAGCATGGGCACCAGGGCAATACTTCAAGGCAGCAGAAGACAGCAAAAGTAGGAAAAGCAAAAATGAAAGAGAAAAATCTCTTCTCCTCCCTTATATTCTGAGCAGGCTACCACAGCCCCACCCAGGGCAAGCGTAGCACTCCCATCATCTCCATGCCCTTCTCTTGCACAGGCTGAGGATGTCCACAAGAGTAAGGAACCCGCTCTGTGTTGAGTGGCTTAAACTTCTCAAGTTGACACAATGTATTAAACATTGCAAGTTCCATAAGATATTTGCCCTGTCTACTTAGACCATAACTAGATGATAACACACAGTGGTAGGATTGATATTTCTCAAGGTAGATCCTCTATGTATTAGTGGATCATACATCTATAAGAGTAAATTTTTGACCCTAAAATAAGTGCCTAATGTAGTATTTTGCTAAAAATGGTGTGCAGTAAACTTGGGGCTTGGTAAGACATCTCCTCACTGAAATTATTCATTTAATATTTGTGTTAGTCAGTGTTCCTATTGCTGGACACAGTGCCAGACAGACATGAATTAAAGATGGAGAGGGTTGATTAATTAATTAACTCAATGCTTTTACCTGCAAATTCTTAAAACATGGGCAAAATGTCTGCAGATTTTCTGTCAGCGTGTAATACACAGCCTGAAGTTCAACTTCCACTAAAATCCTTGTTCCCAGTTAAGCCTCCTTGACCTTTACTGTCCACATTCCTATCAGTATTCTTGTCTTCTGAGCTCTCACCAGAATCATTCATCAATCTCTACTTGCTACATCCTAAAGCTCGTCTAGTCCACGTCTCCAAGCCTTTCCAGACTCTCCCTACAGACAATCCCAAAGGCTCCTACATCACATAGTCGAGTACAGTTAGAGCAAAACTCTCCTTTCCAGTATTAATTTTTCTGTGTTAGCTGATTTCCTGTTGCCAGACACAAGACTGGAGGCCTACAGTTTAAAGGAAAAACTTAAAAAATAAAATAAAATAGAAGCATAATTTAGCTTATGCTTTAAGGGGGTTAAGTGCATGGTCAGCTGTGTCTGAAATAGAACGGCCTAGTCAAAGGGCATGGCAGAGCAAAGATGATTAGCTTATAATACCTGGGAGGCAGGGCAGAGAAACAGTACCAGAGAGGAATGGAGCAAAGAACAGAGAATCCGAGGCCTCCATGACTCTCCTAAACAAAAAAAACAAAATGGTGACTTGGAAGATCCCAAAGGATCCCAGAGCCAATCAAGTTGACACTCTACCTTGTCACAGTATTTATTGGGCACCATGCTATTAATATACACTGACAAGCAAAACAGAGAGTATCCCTGTTTTCGTGGAACTAACTTTACTTGGAAGCAAGAGAAGGAGTAGACTGCCCAGCTGTAACAACATACAAATAACAATATGTCAAAGAAGGACAATGATTATGCTATTATGAATGTTAAACTAGAAATAGAAAGCAGTATATGGTAGAGTTTTGATCCTGTGACAGGATTAGAGTTAGGGAAGGAAAGCCGCGGAAATCTTTACTAAATAAGATGATATTTATGCAGATAAGTGAACTATGAGAATAAATAAGAGAACTGTGTCATGGTGTCAGTAGCACCAGGGTTCAGGCAGAGAAAGTGAAAGTCCAGACACCCACAGCTAGGAAAGAACTTAAGTCATTCTGCAGGTAGAAAGGGTGCTTGCGCGGCTGGAGGTTAATAAATGATGGAGACCATGATGCCAGGTATGCCAGAGGCAGACAATTATGAATGTCAAACAGTTAACTGAGGACTAGGGATCATTTGTATAAACAAATTTCTAAGACTTGTGTATCTCATAAAGATCAAACCAGCTGGCATATACATTTACACATTTGCATAAAGAGTCCACTGGTACACAGATACCAAGGCTGGAAATCTGCGGGTTGGGTCCAATGCTGTGAGAGGACAACAAGAGAGAACTGTGGTTTGGACCGGATGGGGTTGGCAGTGAAGATGTGGAGAGTAGGGAGAACCTACAGGGCCTGAGGATTTGGAGGAAAAGAACAGTTCCCTTGATGTTTTGTTCAAGAAAATGGATAGATGGACGAGACTTAGGACACAAATAGACTGCAGACAGACAAACCAAGAGTTCTGTTTGAGATGCTTTCAACTTGAGATGTGTGGTGATTCAAAGGGCCGTGTCAAGGAAATAGTTGGATTCATGAATTTGAAGCTCAGAAGAGAGCACGAGTGTGAATATACCCATTCGGAAATCTTTCATAGACAGACGATATTCAGAACTAAGACTCAGTAGACCCCACCCAGGAGGGGAGAGTTAGAGAAGAAGGAGGAGAAGAGGAGAAGGAGAAGGAGCAAAAAGAGATGGAGAAAGGAAGAAGAAGAAAAAATGAGGAAGAAAAAGGAGGAAGCAGAGGAGGAGGAAAGAAGGGGAAGGTGGAGGTGGAAGAGAGTGCAGAGCAGAAAGAGCCTGCATCCCTGGGTACCACATTATTTTAAGGTACAGGGGGAGAAGAACCAGTCCATGTGCCCAGCAGGGTAGCCTGAGAAAAGAAAGTGAAAAGGCACAGCACCCAGCGGGAGAAGAGAGACAAATTCTTATTGGTTGAATCGTGTAATTCAGGTAAGTACTAGATTACACTTTCTGCCATGTATTCGAGGTAAGTAGTATCAAAATTTAAAATGCCCAGGCAGCCTCTCAAGCCTTGACTCAATTCTGCTTCGGTTGACAGCCAAGAAGGAGAAATTGTCTACCACTGCCTGAGTAATACTCAAAAATAAAACAGACAATAGGGAAATGTATTCCCACTCAGTTCCATATTTCATCTTCGAAGTAAATGTATTCGTCCCTCACAATGAGATTTCTTGTAATCCACAGATAAAAGATAGCATGGTTAGTGAGGTGACTTTTGATGAGGACTTTATCTTTCCAAAAGGGCTCATGGTGCTGTCTTTCCAGGAGTGTGGGTGACGCCACGACACACTGTCATCAATTCTACATCGGTGGAATTGTACTGGAGTCCGCCGGAGAAACCCAATGGGCTTATTTCTCAGTATCGGTTGAGTCGGAATGGAACTTTACTCTTCGTGGGTGGCGGAGAGGAGCAGAATTTCACAGATAAACACCTGGAGCCAAACAGCAGGTAACTAAAGGCAAATTTTACCAGGCAAACAGGAAGATTTTCTTTTAATGTTTCAAGGTTTGAAAAGAATACATTTCACAGAAACATGACTGTTACTGATTAGTCTCTTTCTTCACTTGTCATACTGTTACCTATACTAATGAAAGTACTAAATCATTAGTTTTCAGACTACATAAACTCCTTTCATTGCAAATAAAAGTAGTCGTCTACTTGACATGAAAGTAGAATTTTTTAGTAAATCAAATACTGAAGCAGTCAAAGTAAAGTCAGGTAGTTGCAGTGTTCAACTTTAAAAATTACCAGGTTACTTTAAAAATGTATTTCTAAATAGCAACAAGACATTCAGAGTTTTTATTTTACATCGACTACTTTTTCTTATAATGTCTTTACTTACCACACTAGATTTAGACTTACCGTTTTGGGGGAGAAAAGTTCTACATATTTGCAGTTCATTCCCATTCATTTCTAAGTAGAGACAAAATATATCTTCCATCCACAGATGGTTTATTGTAGGACATAGAGAACCACTTAGTTTTATTGTAAAGAATACTAGATGAACTCAGAATCTTTTCCCCTAAACATGTTACCTGACCTGCAAGCCCTTAGAAAGAAGGAAGAATAATTTGAATCTTCCATAATCTAGCAGCAAACGCCAAGACTTCCCTGAGATCTTCAGGAAAAGTTATGAATAATGAAGGAGATAAATGTGCTGACAGTGGTAGACGTGGTGATGGCTTGGAGAAAATGCTACCTGGGTTAGAAAAATGTCCAAGTTCATGGTGAACTCCCCGGGCAAGGAGCAAAGACTTTACCATTGCCTCAAAGTTAAGAGAAAACAATGGTTAGAAAAATCAGTAATGGTTGTCCGCCTCTCTCGTGCACTGACTTGTTAAAATTCTTCTTTACTTAGATACGTTTATAAGTTAGAAGCCAGAACTGGAGGGGGCAGCGGTACTAGTGATGCGTACATTGTCCAGACACCTCTGTGGACACCAGAAGAAATTCATGCTCCATATAACATCACAGTAGTGGGACCTTATTCCATATTTGCAGCTTGGACACCACCAGGTAAAGAAACAGAATCTCTTTCTTTTTTCTCTCCCCCTCCCTCTTTTTGTCTTCTGTGAAAGAAAATTAATTGAATACAAGGCTGGAAATGTGAGTGTAGTAAATGAGAAAGGTATCACCTGTCTCCTGGACAGGTGAACAAAATAGTTCAGACCACACTCCTGAGTGTCTGAGGTGCATGGAGTTCTTTAGATCACATCACTGACACAATAGCCATCTCTCCGTAATCTACCAGTGGATCTGGAATTTAGACAGACAGCAGCTTGCTCTGCCTGTGTCCCCTAAATTGTGTCTGGTAATCGTAGCTGAATTTTGCCTTCCTATGCTCTGCAGTCTCCACTGAGCTATTGAGTCACTATTTAGTTGCTTTTGTGATTTAGTGCATTATAGTTTTTGATGTAAGCCTCATCCTCAGGGAAAATTTTGATTACATCAGTACAGTGGGATGAGACTAAAAGGAAATCTTTCTTCTATCTTTTAACATAAAGCACAAATAGAAGGCCTCATTTCCAGGTAAAATTTGAAACCTGTTGCACTTTAAAATATGTAATTTTATTTTTAATACCGGGTCTTAATAAGAGATGGGAGCAAACCCATACTGTCCCCATCGAGGCAGTCCAGTCACGGTTCAACATAACAATTCATTTTCCATTTTGGCAATCAGCAGATCCGTTCCTCAAAACAATTAGGAAAGATGTATTTTTCACTGAGGTAAATAACAAATAAGTCAAAGCAAGTAATATAGTCAAAATAATATAAAGGTTTTTTGTACTGAGGATTGAACTCACAACTGTGCACTTGCAAGGCAGGTGCTTATGCTGCTGAGCTAAATCCCCAGCCCCTATAAAGTTTTAATACAAAATATTAAGTTCTCATCAATCTAAAAGCAGAGAGAAAGAATGTTGCTGAAATTAACAGGAGAAAATCCACTAAGAGATTAATAAAGAAAAATTTAATTTGCTCTACAGTGTTACATACAAATGACTCCATAGCTATAAAATAAATACACAACATACTGAAGTAAACAAAGCATAAAGGGAAGATCAGTACCGGGGCAGTGTTGTTAAGAACTATCACATATGTAAGTTTTGGGAACATAGATACTTGTGAACTCTCTTAATTCCAATAGCAAAAAAGACAAAAATTCTACCATGAGAGACACACAAACTTACATCCCCATAATAGAACTGATTTCTACTTTCTCAGGATAGCATTGATATCCTGAATCCTTTTAGCATTTAGTCCTTGGCAAACGTGAGTTTTAGCACCACAAAACAAAACGAGGCTGGATAAAACCACCCTAAGACCAGATTCAGCCTACTTACTGAGGATTCCCCCAGTCACAGCAGGATCCCTATGCTCCAAATTCTCAAAGAACAAGGGAAGTCCAACATGCTAAGCAAGGCTGATGTTTTCCAGCCTTGTGCCTAGATAGTCCTGAAATATAGCCAATCATCACTTGTCATTTTAACATGATTAAAATACAAATTGCCTTTCCATTCTGAAGAGTACAATTGGTGTGGATTTAAAAATACATGTCTTTCTAGACAAAGTCCAAAAAAAGACAAACAAGAAAAGCAGGTTCACATAGCAGCACTGACACTTGTTAGGTGACCTTTAAAACTCAGTTAGCTACCTTCTAAGATGACTAAAGTATCTACGTGGAGATCCCCGTGAACAGTAATATGTGTAACTGGCATACATTGCCTATTTCTGTATAATAGTTTAAGACATTTTTTGAAAAACTAAGTTTTGTCTTACTCTTTTTACCAAATGCATTTGTCCCAGCATCTGATGACTCTCAATCTTCATTTTCAATATGATGAAACCACTCACTGAAGAACAGGGTTAGTAAATTTCTCAGAACCTTTCTAGTTCTCCAGCATTGTGTCATTGTTTTCTCTGAGTTCAACATCACATTTTTATGTTGAATGCATAATGTTTTCACTGGGAAAAGTATGCTGGAATAAAACATAACTTTTGCTTGTATAATATAACCTTAACCCTTGCCTGTCTCCAGCCTTGTAATTTTTCATTCTGGTCCGGACTAAAGGAAAATGAAAGGAAGCTGCCTTTGACTATTTAACCAAGATTAATAAATCTATAATATCCAGACCTGTCAATCTTTGCATTTCAGGCACACGAATCCACTACAGAAACCCTGTAATATGTGGAAAGATTAAAATCTTAAATGAAACCTTTTTTTCCTGGTGCCTAGAAGGATTTCAACTCAGTAAACAGTCAGATGATTTTGACTTGCGTATAATCGACAGTTGATTTTATTGGAAAGTACCTCATGCTGTGTTTTGATTTGGATAATAAAAATGTATTTTCTCTTCCAGAAAATTCACAAATATAAATCTTAAGCAGAAAGAAAACAAACTTGTTATAAGTGCAGGTTGTTTAAGCACTGGCAATCAGGGGTTTTTTATCTATTTGACGTACTCTGCCATTCCTTGGGAGCTGCATGGTGGGCCACGTGGACTATGTCTGTAGTTTCCAAACCTTGGGGACAGTAGAAGCACCTATGAAGCTTAGGCAAAGACAAACCTTCCACTACAAGCTTGCTGAGTAAGAATCTGCTAGAAGTCAAGAACTCTATATTTTTAAAGCTTCCCCATCTGACTCCTGTAGGCCGAGATGTTTTGTAATCATAGATCACACGGATTAAGCAAAAGTGGTCAATTCAAACAGCTCTATGAATGTATGAACCAAACCAGTTTCTTCTGAACATGCAAAGCCAAAATAGCGATTGCACTGCTGTTTTTCACTTGCTTTTCTTTGTGGCCAATATAAATGGTGGTAATTTGCTAGGAAGAAAAAAAGTCTATATGGTTACCAGACAACAGAACTACCTCAGGTTAAAAAAAGTTACCTAAGAAACAGACTAGATTTTGGTGTTTGAAATTATCATTTCAATGTTGTAATACCCTTCTGTCTCTGGTTTAACTCCTAAATCCACACAGATCTGTTTATTTATTACTCAAAATTCTCAGGTATATGATGCATTGACTCTGATTTTTGAAATAATAGCCCAGAGGGCCAAGAAACAGAGCTAGATATTGGTTAAAACCAAATAATTCTAGGAAAATAATGTTTTACCAAGCAGGTCAGATAAGGGAAGAATTAATTACGGGAAATTATGAAGCCTTAAAGGAAGACATCTGCCTGGTAACAACTATTTCTTGTGACAGGAAGGAATTAGAAGCCAGAAGGCCCTGCCTCACCTTCCAAAAGTCCGGAGGGAGGCACAGGACCTGGCAAAGGCAGTTCTGAGTACAGAAGATTTTCACTAGGTAGGAGGGCAGGAGAGTCATTTCCCAATTGACTACAAAGAGATTATGCTAGGATTTTATCCAAGCCTTGCTAAATATTCTTTTACCTCTCAGACAAATCCTCCACTTACCTCATTATTATGTGGTAAATGTCAATAGTAATGTGACCAAAATATTCCAATGACTAAAAGAGTAAAATTTCATCTTTGAAAATCATATGCACCTCCAGATAAAATGGTGTACAGAACACATATATAAAATGGTAGCTAAATTATTGGAAGAATAAAATGGGGAAGTCATTTGCACAATTACCATGTAGGCAAATGTAAATAAATTTATATTATTGTCCTGTTTAAAATTATTCAAATGCTTGATTTCCTATTAAAGCCCACATCTCTCCCCACCTTAATTTAACCACACACACACACACACACACACACACTCACTGCTTTAAAGACATATAGAGCACACATGTATATTTTCCAAAGATTAAATGAGGTGTAATTTTAAAAATTCAGTGAATCGATTTAAATTTAAAAACAAATATTATAAAACAAGACACATTACCATTAATCCCCTCAAAGTGCTCCCCCCTACTTCAAACACAGCCGTCCCATCATTGTTCCCATTATCTGAAGCAGGGCTGGACATCCTCTTTAGTGAGTGTCTTTACTCATGCTGTCCTGGATGCCTCAGTGACCTGAATTCATTTACCTTCCACGGTCAGTTTGACCGTAGGGAAGAGCCAGAGATCACACAGGGCCAGGTCCAGTGAATATGGTCCGTAGGGATACCTCGCAGTTTGGTAAGAGCCTGCTTTTTTATGCATAGAGCTAAGCAGCTGCATTCACCAGGTTTTTTAATCCTACCTCATAAAGACACTCATGAAAAGAGGACTCCAGCGCTGCTCCAGAGAGTGGCAAGGATGGGGAATAAGTATGTTCCGAGCGAGGAGAAGTATTTTGAAGTTGATTCATGGCAATGTGTTTTATTGTAATAAATTTTTAATTTAAACATTCACAATATATTTTTATCTCATATGTTGTCTTTCCAATGTGTAATTTTTCATCTTCCAGAAAAGCAAGTATTGAAAACTACATAAAATGAGACCTAATAGTTTTCCTGTGGGTTTTAAATTTAATGTCTTTAGATTTCATCTGTCTCACCTAGGAAAGGGATTAGGAATGCCTACTTTTATTGTTGTTACATGCAGGGAGCCAGCATGGTAAGACAGTTCTTGATAGATGCTGGCCTTCGCTGCTGGAACCTTCTCGTGACGTGTAAAGCAGGGTAATTTACCCCTAAACGTTCCTTCTCACCTTCCACTAGCTTTGCGCTTTAGATCAAGACTTACACATTGCAAGACAACAAAGCTGTATGTTACTTTGTGGGTAAAAGTTACCGAAAACTAAGAAACAAAGACTTCATGGAACACAAACAATTTACTCAGAAAAAGAATGGAGCTAGATATCCCGGCTGCTTAAGAACTCAAACATTCAAAATTATTTAAACCCCGAAGATAATAATGAGCCATTCTCATGTATCAAGATGATGACTATATTTGAACTATTCTGGCCCTTAATCATGTTCTAATTAACACTGTCACTGCGTTCATCACGCACTTTTCCCTCTAAGGATGGTGAGTTATTTAGGCTTCATGCATAATACCGAAATCCTGGGGCTTTTTCTTTTACATTTATCTTTTAGTCTATTAAAGAAAAGACT